ATACATATATATATATATATATATATATATATATATATATATATATATATATGTGCAAGAGTGTGCAAGAGGTATATCAAGTACATACACGTGAACATGTGGATATCATCCAATGAACTTCAACCGGTGTAGCATAGAATAAACGACGAACTTCCATGACTTCTGATCATTAACTGAGCAAATGTAGAGCCTTCGGAATTGGAATTGAGATTCTTATCGTTTTTCTTCTCTTGGAATTTTAAGAGAGATTATATATATGGTTCTTAAGTTGCTTTACTGATGTTTGTCTTGTCAGGGTCTTACACCTTATGAATTTGTCGAAAGCATGAAGAAGAAGGGCATTCGTGTTCCTGGAATCGGGCACAGGTAATAACTAATTACAATCTCCTCTATATATTCCCTTTTTTTTTGTTTTTTTTTTGAGTTTGTCATAAGCTGTTACATATAAATTATAATAATGACATATTTTTCATGTGAAAAAAATAGAATCAAGAGGGGCGATAACAGAGATAAGAGAGTGGAATTACTACAGGAGTTTTCGCGCTCCAATTTCCCTTCAGTAAAGTACATGGAATACGCAGTTGAAGTCGAAACCTATACACTCTCAAAAGCAAACAACCTCGTACTCAATGTTGATGGTGCCATTGGTTCCCTATTCTTGGATCTTCTTGCAGGCAGTGGAATGTTCACTAAGCAAGAAATCGACGAGATTGTCGGAATTGGATACCTTAACGGTCTTTTCGTGCTCGCTCGTTCCATCGGTCTCATCGGGTGAGTTTCATGGCAATTATTTTTTTAGTATATTTGTTAAATCTTTTTACATAATAACCTAATCCAATAAGATGTTTCGTGCGGTAACTATGATATTTTATTGAAATTTCAGGCATACATTTGACCAAAAGAGACTGAAGCAGCCACTGTACCGCCACCCGTGGGAAGATGTTCTGTACACCAAGTGAAAACTTCTACAAATAAAAACAACAGATTCATAATAAGTTGTGCCTGCCTTGCAATGGCCAGTCTTCCAAGTTTTAGTTTCTCATTTTTTTTTTATTTTTTTTTTTAATGATGTGAATTTGTTGTGTCAATGTTGGGTTAAATTCGGTATTTAATTTGTACCTGCTAAAAAGCAGATTTATGAGTGTGCTTCTTTTGTAAGATTTAACTCTTTCACAAAGTGCCAATCAAGAATTTTACTTTACTTCTCGAATGATTCTAATCATGTATAACGAACTGATGATTCTAGAATCCTAGATTATGATGGTGACCGTGTAAGAATTTATTTGTGGAGGAGGACAAAAAATGGTAGTAGGCGACAATTCAATTGGCAAGGATAAAGATCTTAAGTGAGAAAAGTAAATATATAGTTTTATGGTTTTGGAGATGCTACATCGAGTGATGAATCACCTCCGGTGTTCAACAAAATGTCTAGTCCACGAAACGAAACACGGCGACTCACACAATTCCCAACTTAAATCATCATTGTCACTGCGAAATCACCACCACCACCACCTTGCTAGCAACAACAATGCCGCCACAATAAAGGGCGGCGATTCCATGAGCAAGGCTGTTGTAGCACAGTACACTGCTGACGTAAGACTCAACGATGTTTTCGAAAACTCCTGACCAACAATCAATCCGTTTCCGAACAGCAAATCACCGGTTATCTGTCTAAAATACAGAGCGGCGGCCACAGTCAACCGTTTGGCTGCACAATAGCCGCCGATGAGTCAGTTCCGATTCTCCAACGGCCGGAAATTTTAGCCATTGGTAATACTGATGTGAGAGCCCTCTTTACCATTATCGAGCTCCGTTTTGCTACACAAGTCATTTGGCGCGCGTGAGCTCACGTTATTGAATCCTCTCTGGATAAAAGTTTATCATGTCGGAGTAGTAATCGATTTAGATTTAGAGCCCCACAATAAAAACAATACACACACTGCACCGAAAACATACACTAAAAAAAAATACACGCACTATACCGAAAATACATACTAAAAAAAAATTACGCACACACTAAAAAAAAATTACACACACTACACCGAAAACACACACTAAAAAAATACACACAGTGCACCAAAAACACACACTACACCGAATACACACTAAAAAAAAATACATACACTCCACCGAAAACACACACTAAAAAAAAATTCACACTTAACCGAAAACACACACTACACCGAAAAACACTACTCTCTATGTTCCATAATATCTGTCTCTTTTGAGAATTTATTTTGTTCCATATTATTTGTCACTTTACAATTTCAATGCTGCATTAATTGCTTATTTTTTAATTTTACCCTTATTAACTCTGCACCACTCTTCATGCATTAATTAATAAACAAGGGTATTTTGGTCCATCAATATATATTTTCCTAAAATCAAGACATATTTATTGGATTCTTAAGATTTGTGCCAATGTGAAAAACGACATCTATTTAGGACCGGATGAAGTACTAAAAATAATTACACACACTAAATAAACTACACACACTACATCGAATATACACGCTAACAAAAATTACACACACTACATCGAAAATACACACTAAAAAAATTGCACACACTACAACGAAAACACACACTAAAAAAAACGCACTAACTGCACCTTAAACACACACTGAAAAAAATACACACGCTACACCATAAACACTTCTTTTAATAGTTTTGTTAAACATCTTTGACATTTGAAACTTTTCTTTTAATATTTTTCTAAAACTCAAAAATAAAAAAGAACAATATATATATTATTTATAATTTATGAATATACCCCTATATTTTTAATAATTCTAAATATATCCCTATATTTTTAATATTTATACGTATCCACCCCGTTTTCCGTATCCTAGTTTTTAGGAAATATATATATATATATATATATATATATATATATATATATATATATATATATATATATATATATATATATATATATATATATATATATATATATATATGTATATATATATATATGTATGTATACATTGTAGGTCAAATTTGAGTTGTAGTACACGAAATGAAGATCTTCAGTCGTCAATGCACGTCAATGGGTGTACGTGTTATTGTGCGTAAATAAGTAGTTATATATGTAGTTAGCTTAAGGAGAGAGGGTGCTTTGTCACCTTGTTGTACGTATAAATATTGTAACTTGTAAGAATTCACAAATTTGCGACGTGAGATAAATATAACAAATCGCAATTATTAGATGACGACAATAATTACGATCAAATAGAGCATATATAGATAAAGAGTGATATTGAATTTTGAAACTTAGTAGGGAAGCAAGTTCAAAATGAAATAATAATGTAAATAAATCGTGGAGTACTGCAATATATATTGTAGGTGTGTGCCCACACCCCACCACACCTGCTGCTTCATTTTTTACCCCAAACACACATCATCACATGAAATTCATAATGCAATTGTATATGCCCAAAAGAAAAAACAAAAAAAAAACATTTGACTTGGGTTGATGAAGAGCTGGCAATTATTTATCATTTTATTTTGCATGATTGCTAGTTTTGAAAAAAAAAACTTGGATAAAGATGTGTTTGGATCGGACCTACAATATATATATATATATTGGAAAATGTCAAATCTTAGATTATCTACTAATTAATGGCACCAATAAACAATAATCTGAGTACACATTGTTCATATTAGAAAGGAAGATATATTAACAATAATATTTTGATTTTGCAATATAAAATAATGTTAATCTGAAGATAAGCATTAATGCATGCTTTCAAGCAAATTACTGTTGGTGATTATTATTATTATTATTATTAAAGAATGTTTGAATATGACAGATGACGACCCAAGGCGGCGAAGCCAAGGGGCGGCGGGGTAGGCCCGGCCCGGCCCGGCCACGAGCCTCTTCTTAGGATTTACTAAAATGAAAATTGCTAAAAGAAAGAAATCACAATAATTCAAACACTTGTGTGGCTGCTACTCCACAAATCTTGGGGAGAAAAAAAAAAGGTGAAATCCACTGATTATTATTTATTTTTTAATTGAAAAAGGAAATAAAATGAACTCTCCTCTATGAATGGATGTTTTTGGCACAACAATCACTTTTGCTCAAAAGTAAACTACAACTTTAGTGATTGATCAAGATAGTGAAATTTAAGCCACATGAATGCCATTTTCCTACTTCTACGTGCTAATGTGTATATCCTATGGAACAGAGAAAGTTACATTTTTGTCCCTTGTCCCTCGAGTCAGTAATCCACTTTGCTCTTCGAGCCCATCCTACCTCAACTATTTAAGCTGATCTAATTCTAGCATCATTACACGTAAACACACACACACCCACATTGGTATGTGTAAATCAAACAATACAAAATCTAGTCAGTATAACCTTCACCGGGTATAACATAGAAATAATTGAGACGATCATTCGCCCCAAAACTAATTAGGCTAAACTTGAGATAAAAATAGAAAGAAAATGCAAGAACACATACAAAATAAGGAAAAGAGAGAAGTATTTATATCCGTCCAATTAGATCCATTTCATTTAATACACGCAGCTGTAAAGAGGTGGACAAAATATTAATTTATTAGGCTTATTAAATATTAATTAATTAATTTGGTGGCCTGGTGGGCTGTAACTCATTCAAATTGGTCTTTGAAAATTCTTATAATATTTTTAATTTCAATATTTCTACTTTAGTTTGCATAATTTTTTGAATCATGCACCAATAATTTTTTTTCTTTTTGAATCATCAATATACAGATACATGCAGATATGTATATTTATGATCCATTTTCTGTTATGATTTAATTCAGGTGTAAGTAACCAACATTAAGAATGATACTACTAAGTATAACTACTAACTAATTAAATTTTCTTTAAAAAAAAAATTAAAGTGACAGTAAAACACACAAAAAAATGACTGAATTTAGGAGCCAATAAGATGGTGCCAGCACGCATTAAAACTGATGGTGGCTTCACGCATTGTTGGAGCGCGTGGGTGCAAGCGCCAGCTATGAGAGTGTTGTTTTTATGTTTGGCGGGTCCGTTCTGCAACAGTACAACCAACAACTACTACTCTACTACAATCGAGAACCAGAGGGCAGAGCACACAAGGAATGCAGTCATTTTAGAGAGAGAAAGTCGGATGTTCTAGAGAGAGAGAGAGAGACGGAAAAAAAACAGAGCCAGAAGTTTTTTTAGAGAGAGAAAAGAAAACAAAAAAAAAGGTGGGTGAGGAGGAAAAGGCCAAAGGTGATGCTTAGAACTCCCAAAGGTCACACATTTTAATTCTGTTTTTTGATTACACATTGAACCCATAATTCTGTACAAATTAAAATAATTGCAAAACCCTTTTGTAAAAGGGGGAAAGATACTAGTGATCTTCGTCACAGATCCATTATTCAGGAGAGAGAGAGAGAGAGAGAGAGAGAGAGAGAGAGAGAGAGAGAGAGAATGGCCAAATAATAATTCTTCGTTGAAGAATATAATATTCCGATTTTCAGGAGTGAATATGTAAAGAGGACTCTATAGTGTTCGGATTTTTCTGTTTTGATTTCGGAAGATATTTCCCATGAAGAACGGCTCGCCGGAGTCAGCGCCGCCACCGGCGGCCTCGCCGCCGCCGACGGAGGAGCTGCTGAAGAAGATCCAAGAGCTAGAATTGGGCCACGCCCACCTGAAGCAAGAGATGTCCAGGCTCATGACACCACCATCGACGGCCGAGATTATGGCCGCCGCCGCGGATCGTCACCACAAGCAGAGGTCCCACTCCATTTCCCCTCAAAGGGTTCCTCGCCGGAGATCCGACAGCGGCGATGCCAGCTTAGTGGCTGCGTGGAAGAAGGGCTCTGTATCTTTCCGGCATTCCTCTCCGCTACAGAGGGAAAGTCGCGGCGGCGCCGCCACCGTCGCCGCCGCCGGAGGCTGCGGTCCTTCGGCAGTTAAGTTCACAGATAAGCAGTATTTGAACATATTGCAGTCAATGGGACAATCTGTGCATATATTTGATCTCAATTGTCGCATAATTTACTGGTAATTACTCAGTTGAACTATACTATATATATATATTTCCCATCTTTTGACCTAATTGTTTATTAATATGAAATGAATAACTGTTAATTTTGTGAAGGAATAGAACAGCAGAAAATCTGTACGGATATTCAGCGGCAGAGGCACTGGGGCGTGACGTAATCGAGCTATTATCAGACCCTCGAGACTCTGCTGTGGCTAGTAGTATTGCTGGTCGTGTGGCAATGGGGGAAAATTGGACCGGTCAATTTCCGGTCAAGAATAAACGAGGCGAAGGATTTGTAGCTGTGATAACTAATACACCACTCTACGATGATGATGGTTCTTTAGTTGGAATTATATCCGTCTCGTGTGATTCGAGGCCTTTTCAAGAAGCTAAATCTGTACTGTCGGAAAATAATTCGAGTTTGAGCAGGAATATAAGCATTGCTTCCTCCAAAATATCGAATTTGGTGGGTATGAATATCGTCTTTCGTTTTAGTGGTTTTTGCGTGAATTAAGTACAAATTTTCCTAGCATATTTGCTAATAATAATTTTCAATAAAATAGGCTTCTAAAGTAAGCAACAAAGTTAAATCGAAAATGAGGCCTGCCGAAACGTACTCCTCGGACCACGAAGGTGGCAGTGGGGACAGCCATTACTCCGATCGAGGTTTTTACGATAATGCCATGTCCGATACTCGAGAAGATGCTGTTTCAAGTGGGGCCAGTACTCCAAGAGGAGATACACCAAACCCTTCTCCATTTGGAATATTCTCTAATCCCAACAAGGAATATTCCTCTGGCAACGAGAGCGAAACGAAACCCGGGATTTCGAGAATTCTTACGTCGAAAGCAGAGACTTGGATCGGTAAGAAGAATTTGTCGGCCCGTTTTGCATGGCCGTGGTTGCATAACAATGACCAAGAAAACGAAAAGGGTGGTGCTAATGATAATAATTATAATAATAATCATGTTAGTGAAAATAATCGGACGGCTAATAATAATGAAGCCCCGTGTTCTTGGTCGTCTTCGGTCAATGTGAACAGTACAAGCAGTGCTAGCAGCTATGGAAGTACGAGTAGCGGTGCGGTTAATAAATTCGATGTTGATACCGATTCTTTGGATTACGAGATTTTATGGGAGGATTTGACCATCGGTGAACAAATTGGTCAAGGTTAGCTATTTTTTTTTAAATCGGGAAAGATTTTACGATATTTCTTACAAATTGTTTCGATATATTTTGTGCAGGTTCTTGTGGAACTGTTTATCATGCTCTGTGGTATGGATCAGTATGTTCTTTACCTCTTTTTTCAAAAACTTCTTTTTACTTAATAAAGTAATTATATATATATATATTATCTGCAGATTATGTAATAAGGGCAAAATTTATAATCTCTCATTGTAACAGAATTAACCGTTATGCTGTGTAGGATGTGGCGGTTAAGGTATTCTCGAGGCAAGAATATTCCGATGATGTCTGGCGGTTAAGGTATTCTCGAGGTCAGTATTGTTTATTCTTGAAGAGAAAAATGTGATTTTTCGATTTTCTGTTTTTATGCCGAGAAAAATGTGATTTTTCGATTTTCTGTTTTTATGCCGTCTGATAAACAATAAGTTGGTCTCGTTGGAATATATTTTTTTTTCGAATTTGGTTTAATAAGTCGATATGAATGTTGAAGGTATCACTTATGAAAAGACTTCGACACCCAAATATTCTGCTGTTCATGGGGGCAGTCACCTCCCCCGAACGTCTTTGCATTGTAACCGAGTTTCTTCCACGGTATTTATATAATCTACTTTGCCCATAATACCCCCGCTCTATTTTCTTATTTACTATTTAGTATCCTTAAATTCACAATTCTTCGTCTGATGAATGCAGTGGAAGTCTGTTCCGGTTATTGCAGAGGAACACAGCAAAATTAGAATGGAGAAGACGTATTCACATGGCTTTGGATATTGTAAGTTTCTCTCTAATCCATTTTTTGGTTAATTTCCGAATGCAAAAAAAAAAATTATTTATATTAATTATTTTGACGTTGTATATACGCACGTAGGCACGAGGTATGAATTACCTTCATCATAACAATCCACCTATAGTTCACCGCGATTTGAAGTCTTCAAATCTTCTTGTCGACAAAAACTGGACCGTCAAAGTCGGTGACTTTGGTCTATCACGTCTTAAACACGAAACTTATCTGACAACAAAAACGGGCAAAGGAACGGTACGCATTTAATCAGCGTCTAAAAAAAAAATCATTTCTTATTATATTATGTTCGTTTAATGAGCCTAAAATTTGTATATAATGACTGGAACACAGCCTCAGTGGATGGCTCCGGAAGTTCTTCGAAACGAGCCTTCGGATGAGAAGTACATGTTAATTGTCTATTGATAAGAGAGGAAATGTGAACCATTGGATTTTAATTTTAATTTTAATTTGGAAATGTGAATTCAGGGCTGATATATATAGCTATGGAGTGATATTATGGGAACTTGTAACACAGAAGATCCCTTGGGAAAGTCTCAACTCAATGCAGGTATATATTGTTAATGTTTCTAAAACCTTTTTCTCAATTAACAAATCAATGGATGACACGTGGCTGTAGTAAAACTTGTCATTTAAAAAAAAAAATAAAAAAAAATTGCAGGTAATTGGAGCAGTGGGATTCATGAACCAACGTTTAGATATGCCAAAGGATGTTGATCCACAGTGGGCTTCTATTATAGAGAGCTGCTGGCATAGGTTTGTATTTTCTTGATTTTTTTTTTAACATATTTTGTATTAGGTAAGAAGAGCTATGTAATAACTTCGGACGAAACGTGTTTTGTGGCGAACAGCGAACCACAAAGTCGTCCTTCGTTCCAAGAATTAATGGAGAAGCTAAAAGAACTTCAGAGACAATACACAGTTCAATATCAAGCTGGTCGTGCTGCTGCTCCCACCCTAAAGGAACTGTAATCTGTAATAGCTTTACGGAACAGAAGATTTGAACCGAATTACCGAATTCCCTTGTTCTATATCAACATGTTACTCCCTTCGTTACCTTTTAATCATCGGTTTTTTGCTTTGCACATAGATTAAGGATTTTATTAAATGTGTCTTAATTTTAGAAAAAAATGTATTCTTTTAGACTAAAATGACCTTATCTTATAATTAATAAGATAGGGAAATGAGTTAAATAAAAGAGCGTTGGAAAGAGTTGATAAGGGTATAAACTGAAAATTAAGTAATTAATGCAGTGTTGGAAAATTAAATTTAAAGTGACAGATAATATTGTGGAACAAAGGGAGTACGATTTATTTGAAACATGGCCCTATTAATATTATTTAGATGTTTGTTCTTTTCCTTTGTGTCCAAGCGTAGCTTTCTTTCGTCCAAATCTTATACATACACAAGATGTATGGTGTAACATTTTCAACAAGTAATAAATGAGAAGGTAACTCAAGATAAAGGACGAATCAATACGTATTTAGGATTTAACAGTTAGTAAAAAAAAAAAAACCGAGAATTTGCAGAAGCAGAGCTTACAGCATTAAATACGTATTTAGTAGAGCAAGGATCTAATGGCAGCAACAGCATCACCTTTGTGTTCGCGCAATGTTCTTTCAGCCACCTTCTTGTCCAGCTATTTTCAAAATTATAGTATACGTAAATACCATATATATATATGAAATCGAATTATTGAACAAAATGAAGAGTTGGGCAATAATTAGGAGTACCTCTAGTTCACTTGCAATGATATCAATGTCGGCTGCATTAATCTTAACAGCTGCCAATTCTTTCTCCCTGTGATGAAATCGAACACCGTTTGTATGATCAGCAAATTGAAATAAAATGCGGATGAATTACACAGATATATTCTCTAGGTTTGGCCTAATTACAATAAAAGTTGCAACAAAATGTTGAAATTACAAACATCCATTAAGGTACTAAAATGTGGCTTGCGATTTCTATTTAGTTTACAATCAGGCTCCTCCTCAATAAACCCAATTTGAAAACTGTAAGCAAATGCCACGAGAATATTTGCTATTTAAAAACTTAACTAAGATTTTTTTTTCAATAAGTCACCCTCAAGAGTTTAATGACTTTCGGTTGGAACAGTAAAAATTGCAATCACACAATATAATCTTTACATCACGTAACAAGATTCCTGAGGAACCAATAATACAATATGAAATTTGTAGATGTAAGTCTTCAATGTTATATATATTTCTTCTGCACACGGGTGTTAATTTCCTTTGGCTAATTTAACTAATTTACCAAATAAATTTTATTCGTCCAACGTAAAAAGTTCTACATAACAAATTATGTCAGCAACAAACATCGAGCATTCACCGAAAGTACGTCTCTAACTCGACTAGATTACTAGGGCGATCATTTTGAATTAACAATGCTGAACAATATCACAATGACAAATTTCAAAATCACTCTAAACTATCTCCGTTTCGTATAGAAATTTATATAGAATCGCAAAGTATAACCACTTCTAATAACTATTAAAACTTCCAAAATTGCATGCAAAGTTTGCACACAGATTCACATTCTCAGCCACCCTGAATTTCAATCATGATTTATTCATAAATAACTCCGAAATGACAATCTAGTTTTCGAAAAGTTCCATACCATTTCGAACTCAGGTTTCAAACCTCATTACATTAGTAGTTCCCCAAATAACTCTAATATATAAATGCCAAGTGCAACCACTTCTAATACCTCAATGTACCAACAATTTTTCGATAATCACGATTCCAGTCTGGTTTAAACATAATGCAAAAACTAAATATAATTTCGCCAAACCTTTTTTTAAAAATTCAAAATGCCATACACTACATAAAATAATTGCCAATTCACATTCTACACAATCATATTAATTTTGTCCACAAAAATAAATTTCGATCCGTCTCAATTTTCAAAATAAATAAACAAATGAAAAACATATACCTCAATCTGGCAGCTTGAATATCAGCTTCTTTTGACGCAGAAATCGAAGCCATAGCCTGAAACATAAAAATCCATAAACAAAAAACGCCAATCTGAAATTGTAAAAGCTAAACTACACTCGGAAAATCAAACGGAACTCACCTCCTGAACTCGGGTTGAGTCGAGCTGACGATCCTCGACTCGGTCAGTGAGTTTGTCGAGAGCTTTGCTCTGCTGTTGCAGATCTTTCGAGTCCTCCAATCTCTCAACTCCATCGTCTCCTCCCTCCATTTTTTTTCTTGCTTACTGGAATCTCAACAAAGGATTCGTTCTCTGGTAGAAGCTCGTGAAATTTGATATTTGAATAATGAATTAGCCCTAATCGGATTTTGTGTTTTGGGGATTTTGTGTTAATGGGCTTTTCAAATGCTCCGACCTGTTAATGGACCTTTTCGGGTCGTTGTAGGTTTTTATATAATAACAATATATTTTAATTTTTAATTAGTTTCTGGAATTTAATTTAATTGCATAAATTATTATAGAGTATAGTTTTTTTTTTACCAAATTAATTTTTTATTTATTTATTTTTATTCGTTTAATTAATTGGTGTTTAGTGATTTTTTATTTTTTTGAATATTTTTTGGGTAATATATAATAATTTCATATAAAATTATATTATAATGTTATTTGCTCAATTACAAATAATTCTTCATATAGCAAGTAAATACTAAGTAGAGATTATGTCTTATAATAGAAAAAAATATTTTTTTAATTAAATAAATAAATAAAAATTCTCCGTTCTAATCCACGACTACGACGACACAAACTAAATTACTAAAATTACCACTCTATTAAGTCTTTATGTACAAAATTAATGAATAAACTGACTTTACAAGTGCTGTTTTAACTGAGTTCATCAGTCACAATAGCAACTAATTTCCCCTAATTTATATACTACGCAAAAAATCGTAGTACCGGCCCATTGCACGTATATAGTCGCGGGCTCGTTTACAAAAAAAATAAAAATAATAAATAAATAAATAAATAAATATATACGAGTTCCATTTTAAGTCCCATGCAGAATGTGACCTCAAAAAGTTGCAGCTGAGAACCATGCAGGCAGCCATTCTTTCCCTTTAATAAAATCAATGGATAAAAACGGGGCAGCGTCTTCATCGGTCAATTGTTTTGACCAATGGACCCGATTATTCGGGCCGGATCCCGGCCCATGGCACTTGTACTCTGCTTTGTATAAATTGCTGTTTCATAATTCACAAGCATAAAATTTTCAATTAATTATAAAAATTAAAAGACTAATTAGCTAGTGATTAGTATATAATTTTATAAAAATTAATAATGTGGGATAAAATTATCTTACTCTGTGTTGCCTTGATAGGTATAATTAGTCCAGCCTTGAGGGATAATACTCCTTGATAAATAAGTGTTTGCAAAAACTACCCTTGAGTGTGTTCCTTTGGCACTTCCTAAATAAACATTTCCAATTCCATAAACTTTTCCATTTATAAAGACAAATCCACTCCTTTCTTTATGGTTTTGCCTGTAATTAGCTGTAATAGATCCTCCGATTTCGTGTCTCAAGTCATTCGTTGCTAATATCTCACAATCCTGCATTTAATCAATCAAGAAAATTAATCACGGGCTTAGAACACGGGGGGTACTAAATGTAAAAAAAAAAAAAAAAAAAAAATTGATATAAGGGCTCACGTGAAAAATGGCTTGGCCTTGACCGAAAATGAAATCAACGGAGCCTTGAATGTAGCATTTGTCGTAATAGTGTGTGCCCTTGTAGTCGTAAAGAGTGTTGTGGTTGCTAAAGAATGCGCATTCGTAGAAGGCCGCCTTGTCTCCTCCCACGAGTGCCGCCACCGCCTTGTGGCTTGTAGTGTGAGTTAGAGCTGTATTCTGTTTATCAAATTTTAATTATAATATGATTAAATTTAAATTTCTTGTATTCAAAACAATGTGAAACACATGTAAAATGTATACGAAATGATGGGTTCTGATTCAAGCGGGCCCAATACGACCAGTTGGACATGAACAACATACTCGAGTTAATGGGCTTAGGCCCATGAAAAATCGCAACTTCGTATAATAAAATATAAATACCAAAAACTTTCGAAATTAAATCTCACATTATTAATTAAGGGATATGTATTTTAAAAAAATATATATTAGAGAACCTTGAAGCTGATACCAAAGGCAATAAAATGTTGAGCTTCGAGTTTGAATGTGGATGAATCGTAACTCTTTTCCGAAATTTTGGACCATACGATCGATGTTTTCCCTTTTCCATCACCTTTCATGAATATATACGGCTTGTTCCGTGGTATCGTAACTTTTTCTCTGCAAATAATTATTTATTAAAAAAAATCGGATAGTAAGTAATTTGCATAAATTTAATTTTATGTATGTGAATTTATATATATTGAACAATCATATATATATGACCTATAGACACCCTTTCTGATGTGAATGACAATCCATTTAGAATTTCGATTTGGAACGTAATTGATGGCAGCTTGGACCGATTTGAAGTCCCCTTGACCGTTTGCATCAACGACTATCGTTCGATTGCTTCCGATTTTTTGGATCAAGAGAGGAGAATCAATCACATTATTCTCGGCAACAACATGTACAGAATCAAGAAAGGTGACTAATGTGACTAGAATAAATACAGAGGTTATTTTTAAATTCATTGTTTTTTTTTTCTGGGAATGGGGCTGTGAAGCTGATTTCTTCTTTTTTAATCTTACAACTTAAAAAAATTCGTGAAGGAAAAAAAATCATTAATTGGAGGTTTTCCATTAATTTCTCAGTGTTTGTTATGCAATTTTTCTATTTTTTTTTTTAATAATTGTTTAGTAAGAGAAGACAATAATATGTGAATGTTAAACTTGTGGTTGTAGTCTTGTATAATAGCTTGCCATGCATACAAGAGACAGGAACCACATTAAGTTAATCATGTGCGATAAGTTTGACTTAACGACTGCTGATAAAAGAATTCAAACTTTGATAAATTGACACAGACATTTGCATTATTTTTTTATTTTATATTTTCCTTCATTTGTGGTTGCCCATGCGTTCCTCGAGAAGCATGCGTTTGTCCTATTTATTAAAATTATTTATCAAATGCAATAATTATAGAGCTCAAGCTTTTAATTTTATCGGTGTCCACTTTCAACTACCTATATTGTGAAATTTTAATTCCAAAAAATAGGAAATTTTGCTATTTCTAATCTTGAAAATTTAATGAAAATGTTGTTTAGAAAGATGATGAATTTTGTTTTTAGGGTAATTTTCTATTGTACTTCAATTATTTTATGTAAAAAAGGGCAAATTACGGCCAATCTCCTAAGATAACGTCAAATTACGAAAACATCCCTCATGTTTGGATAAGTGCAATCATCCCCTCATCCATGTATACTGTCTTATATGTCTATTCTTACGGTGTCAAATTTACATATTAAATGATGAGTTTTTTCGCAAGAAAATACACAGTTGAGGGGATTGGCGGTAATTTGGTGTTAACTTATAAATAAATATAAATATAGAAATGAAATTAGGAGGGCCATCACCTTGTTGCTAATGTCACTATAAATTGAGGACAGCAAAGACAATGCAGAGTCACCCTTATTAATGTAGTTTGGTCCTTTTGTCACTTTCAAAGTGTCAAGCTTTCCATATTTCCATTTATTTTGTGCATGTTAACATAAAAATACAGTTATTTGATGGAGATTTAACGACACTTATTTCAATCTTATTTATAACTACAATTGCAATATTTATTTATTTACTCGGTAAATGGTTTGCGATTATGATTATCAAATTCAGGAAGTCCGTACATAATTCAGGAATTTATTCACATACAATCCGGGTGTTAGACGTTACGCCTGATTATTTATACTGGATTATTTTAAACCGTAGATCTGATTAAACAGTTGAAGTCGAAAATTTATTGTTAACAATTATAAACATTTGGTCTATATAATTGTTAATGAATTAGTTGCAATTTTATATCGCGTGTCACGTTGTATTTCATCATTAATCATTGAACAAAAGTCCAATTTAATTCACATCGATCTCTTGTGTGATTTGCGGACGATTATCGGATAAATAATATCGGGTATTGTTTCGAAAATGTTAGGTACATGTACAATGCCATTGAGTTATTGTGTAAAGTCTTATTATGGATTAAGACTGGTCATAATTATTGAGACACATGATTGGTCTATATATACGTATATAAAAATATATATGTAATTAGTGTTGTGAGGTGTGAGGTTGCTCACATGATTATATATATATATATATATATATATATATATATATATATACATATAAAAGTTCACTCGTACATGCATATATATATATATATATATATACATGAAAAATTAAACTGGAATAATAATATTGTACGTACAACAATATATATGATGAGGGTTGGAGTAATAGTGGGAGTTGTATTTGTGGTGGTGGTGGTTTTGGGTTGTTTGAAGAATGGGGAAGCAGTAGGGGTAGGATTGTCCGATAATTTTTACGAGGAATCATGTCCGGAAGTCGAGAGTATTGTCCGAGCAGGAGTTCAATCTGCCTCACTCACTGATCCTACCACCCCTGCTGCTCTCCTCCGCCTCATGTTTCATGACTGCCAAGTTCAGGTTCTCTCTCTCTCTCTCTCTCTCTCTCTCTCACACACACACACATATGACACGTGTCTCTGTGTGTCTTTGTGTGGGGGAGTGTTGCATGTTGTGGTAGAATGTAGAAATGTGGATATTCTTACTATTTAGTGTCATAGTGTGTGTAATTTAAGAATGTAAAATGTGGATGTCACATGCACACAAACACATTTTAGTGCGTGTAATTTTCTTGATTTCGTGCAGGAAGTGTATATATAGATATGTTATTGTGCATCTGATTTTCATTAATTGACAGGGCTGTGATGCTTCAATCCTAGTTAACCCAGACGGTGTGATAACGAAATCATCCGAGATGGGATCGACAAAGAATTTCGGTATTCGAAAGAGGGAATTGATAAGCCTTGTGAAATCAGCAGTCGAAGCAGTTTGCCCCAGACGGGTTTCGTGTGCAGACATTCTTGTAATGGCCGCTCATGAAGCAGTTGCCTTTTCCGGTGGTCCAAGAATTATTCGTCTCCCTTTAGGCCGAAGGGATTCTATCAATCCTCCAAACGCTGGATTAGCCGATGCTTCGCTCCCTCATGCGGATATCGGTCTTGATAGCACGCTTCAACTCTTTGCGAAAAAGGGCATGACTATCGAAGAATCCGTCGCCATTTTAGGTAATGAAATAAAAAAATTACAAAATCGTAGTTCTAATTAGCCGACAATTAATCGCCGATTTTGTTTTCTTTTTAAATGTCATTTCAGGTGCACATACACTTGGAGTCACACATTGCATCAATCTCCAGAGCCGTCTGTACAGTACCCAAAAAAGCAACGCAACAAATCAAAATCCAGCATTCGAATTATCACTAAAAACGAGGTGCCCTCAACTAGCGGGCCCCACAGCTTCAAAAATCAGTTTCATGCAGAACGACCTCACCTCAGTAATCTTCGACAACGAGTACTTTGTGAACTTGATGAGAGGCCGTGGATTGCTGAACATTGATTCCGACATGGCTGTCGATTCAAGAACAAGACAGTTTGTGGAGAAATTTGCCGAAGATCAGGGTGCGTTTTTTCGTGCTTTTTCTTCGGCTTTTGTGAAGCTCTCTTCTTACGGTGTTCTTACAGGGAATCGGGGTGTTGTAAGGAGGAGTTGTGGTGCTTTGGATTGAGTGGCTTGTACCTCAAAAGATATGTTACAAGTTCAAAATTGTTACATTTGTCTTCAAAAGACTATACTAGACAACATAACAAACAATCCTACTAGTGCTTTCAAAGTCGATATTCGGCAAAATAACAAATATATGTTGGAACTTGATACTTGATTCTCCTTTCTATCTTGGATCATACTGCATTACAGCACCATCCATATACCCTGACAAAAGCAGCAAAAATGATTCGTTTTCAATAAAAAAAAAAACCGACTCAAACAATCAAAATCTTGAATTGCAAATCAAAACATACGAGAAAAAATGGTACCTGATTATTTGCCAGTTCTTTGAGAGGAATGAATGTATGCAGGCCCTTAACAACCTCAACAAAGGTCACTTGACATGCCTTTGATGCTCGTTCGAATAATGAGATTTCATGGACCATACGAATCTTTTGATTGGAATCAAATGACTTGGGATATGATATTTCTATCTTCTTCAAAACTCGAGCATTCTTCAAAACATATCTTACAACTTCAAAAATGTTCCTTTCGTCTACAATGTTAAGAAGCTTTATAGCCTTAAGATGCGATAATAGGCATGTGGGCACCTGTATGGGTTCTATCCAGTCTCTTTTTTCTTCACTTGACTGAAGAATAACAACAACAGAAACAGTAAATAAAATAAGAGATAAAATAGATAAAATAGTAAAGAAGAGATAAAATAGAAAAAAGGTTAAGGTTTTTTTTTTCTCATAAATAAACCTCGGAGAAAATAAGAACTCGAAGATTATCAGCATTTTCTAGGAATTTCGAGAGAAAACGGCAATCAACATTCAGTTCGAGTTCGGTTGAGTTAGGAAAACTCATAGTCCAGGAATCTAATTCTGAGTCCATGATCTGCAAATATTTGTCCAAGTTACCATCACAAGATAATAAAAACAACACACAAAGAGCTGATGAAATATTTCAGCAGTGTACCTCTGTACGATACGACAACCGTATTCGTCGGCACTCGAAGGTAAGGAGCCCGAGCCAAGTAATAAACTCCAGCACAGATTTTTGATAAACAAAATCGAACTGTTTCTTTTCATCCTTGTTAAGATAGATATTTGCTTCACACGAGGAGGTTAGCAGCAGCTTAGATCCCCTATCCTCGTGGAAAGAAGCAATTATCTGGAGATATTCAAGCGCGGGTGCATTTAACTTGAGCCTCAAATCAGACATCAATAATGCACTGAAAATACAGAACTCTAAATGGACAGTGAGCCTCTTTACTGTGAGTAGATTACAAGATTCGGGGACCCAAGAAAATGGACCTATACAGATTACCAACTCGTCTAGCACTGGACAGCCAGAGATCAAGTGCTGGAGGGTGTCATCATCCTCAAAATGAAGTTTGATTAGATGAAGAGTTTTCAGGCGAGGCAAACACACCCCGTTGCCTATGGGAATTAAGGCTGCACAATTTTGGAGCCTCAAATCAACTAGGGTTTTGCATGTGAATACGCATCGAGGCACAACAACAGAAAACAGATAGGGAAGCTCGAGATTCTGCAAGTTGTGGGCAGTGGCAGAGGTCATCCATGCCTCCATTTGGTGATCGGTGCAATCAACATCCTGAGTCAGGCGAAAAGTGTGTATGTTCTCAACTTTACGTAGCATGAAAACCTTGTCTATGATGTCTTCTTTCTCCCCACATTCGAAGCTTAAACTAGGGACGTACGCCCACAGAAATTTCCATCTTCTGGAAAAAATGCTTGTGCTCACAGAGATCTTAGTTGGGAGAAACGAGAGAATGTGACAAAGGACTTCGTCCGGTAAACCGCTAATTCTATCGGAATTCAATGAAATCATCTTGCAGATCCCTGATTTGCAAAACTATATCACACACACAAAAAAAAAAAAACAGGTCACTCTAAATGGAAATTATAACTTACTTTCATATAACAAAAGACCATAACCATGCCACTATATTCACACGACTGATATAATTAATACATGGGCAAAATTTCATGATATTAGAAAAGGAATCTTGCGTTTCTTTCAGTGAACTGGAAAGCAGCTATATATTTCAACAAATTTGCAGTTAATGATGAGATAATTAGTCAAAAAATCAGCTTATTTCATGTCCTGGAATCGAAAGGAAAAAAAATATCCAAAAGAGTTTACGATCACTGCAGCTTCATAGCATTCCAGACTATTAGATACACGAGTAGCATTTGTCACAAACTTGCTTAATTTACAATGCTACGGATTTAATATTATAGGCGAAGACTCACAAACTATGTACCAAATCCACAAACTACTTAAGGAAAGAGCTGGATAGCCTAAGGGGCCACGTGTCGCAGCACGTCGCATGACGTGGAGAATATATCGGATTTTGATCCATTCGAATTGGAAATCTTTTCATTATTAATTTCCGATAAATGCGCGATAGCTAATTTATCGAACACGTGGAGAGTGGGGAGGTTTACTACAGTCTGACTAACCACATGAATTGAATGAAAATTACTATTAACTAAGCTACAAATGAACTGAGTAAAACATTTGTCACTCTCAACTCTCAACTAAGTAACATATCTCAAGCAATTTTTGATGCAGTTCTACACAAATTTTAATCAATTAGATGAAACCATTCCATGAATATACGAGGTCGACAGCAATACTTATCATTCACAAATTACACTACAAATAAATTCCTGATTATACGATATAAATATTAAATCATCATCACGATAAATCAATTAAAATTTCATTTAAAATCATGCAATTATATTTTAACAAAACTCAAATTCATTTTTCCATCTTAATTATACGGCCAGCGGTTGATACGCGCATATGCGAGGCGGGGGCAAAAAGTGCAAAAAAGGCGCATGCATTTTGTTAATAAACCCTAATTGAGTTTTAGAGAGCTAAAAAAATCATCACGTACCGCATTGAAGCCCTCACCGGAGACGACGACGGCGGCTCCACCGACCAGCTGTATCAGTTGCACGTCGCTTTCTCTCTCCTCTTTCTCTTTCTACCAACTTTCTCCTCTTTCCTATTCAACTTGCCAATTCTGATTTGGGCCGGACCTGTTTATATAGGCTTCTGTTATATCTGTTATATCTGTTTTATCTGTTTAATTATAATTAGAAACTCAAATGGGCCGGGCCCACTAATTATTCTCATATTTTCAGTTATTAAATTTTATTGGGTAAATTACAAACACCCCTGAGGTATAGTCAATTTACGAAAAAAACCCTATTGTTTGGATAATTACATATAACCCCCTCAAATATGATTTTTCCTTACACCTCCACCCTTATGGTATCAAATTCAACATAATCATCTAGATTCTGTGAAATATGCTCCAGTTTGTACTTGTTTTGTGTAAAAATACAGTTTATGATGCACCACAATCTAATATATACAAGCCGAAAAACACTTATTATGATCATCTTGCTTCAAAACGTATAGTTCGAATAAGATTAAACGGGTACAAAAGTGATAATATTTTATATAATTAATCTTGAAGATTTTACTAAATTTGACGAGTTGAAAGGTGGTTGTAATTATCCAAACAAGAGGGGGGTTTTCGTAATTTGACCATACCTCAGAGGTGGTTGTAATTTAATTTGTTTGTTACTTTTATAGTTTAAATAAGTTTGTTAATAGTTTGTTACTTTTATGTCAAACGTGTTGGAAATCATAAAATAAATACATAAATCAATGGGCTAATTATAATAAATAAATTAAAATGGGACCAAAAAAAAGAAATATATTTATAAAATTCAAATAAGTATTGTCCCATACCCCATCACAATTGAATCAATTATCTTAAATTAAAAATTCTGGCAAGCAACATAAATTATGAAAACAGAGGAAGGGCTGCTGCATACTCAATAAATGATATTGTTACCCTTTGTAGTGACTGCATTCATTTTTAACTTGTAATTTCATTATTTTTTATCTGAATTCTTAGAGTTGTTAGGTTTATTAATTGGCAGTTGAAAACATTATCCCCTTTTTATATTAAATATTAAATACCAATATTATTTTTCTTGAAACTAGAACACCTCATTGGACCGTTGTTCCACATTATTCAGTGAATTTCAACCATATTTTTTATTTGTTAATCACTTATTTGGTTGGCGAGAGTAATTATAATTAATTAATTAAATAATTGAACTTTGTTTTCTGTTAAGTGTCGACCCGTAAATATTATATTAATCATTATAATAGTGAAGAATATTTCCTTTTTTTTAATATTTGAAATACTAAATCGAATCTGAACCGAAACCACACAATTAAAGTTTATTTGAATTTTTATTTAAAATCTATATTCGTGCTTGGTTTTATTTTCAGATGAGTCGAGCTTAAGCGAGCTTTAATCTCGAGTAGCTTAATACTATTATTCATAAAATATATATTTTTCTTTCTATAATGAAATTTAGGTTAAAGCTTCATATTTTATCCATACAAGATACATGTTACACTTTTTTAATTAGTTTTTTGAGACAACATACAAGATACATGTTAACTAACCATATTTTTAACCAGTGATTTCGAACCGAATATCGAGTAATTTTTTATAATATTTAAAATAATCGATCGACTCCGAAAATACATACGATAGATATATTCTCACGGGTAGGAACTGATTCTGATAAGCATTCAATGAATTTTCTCCCTCTTATATATAGCTCATGCAACCCTAACTATAAAAAGGCTCATCACTTACCAAACTCATATTCCATCTTTTTCTCTTCGTTTTTTTTTTCGATTTTATTTTACATTTAATTTCATAAAAAAAAGTAAATTATAACATATATTTATTACTCATTTCAAGGTTAATTTCTGCAATGGGAAAAAATGTAGTGCACAAGCCATTCTTCAACATTTTATTCCAATTCTTGATTATTATTATTATTATACTAGTAGTAAGTGAGTCAAGGTTCTGTTTGGCTGAACCAAAAGATACAGTACCAGCAAACTTTGTTTTTGGAGATTCATTAGTTGATGCAGGGAACAACAACTACATTGTATCTCTTTCCAAAGCTGATTTCGCGCCAAACGGGATTGACTTTGGTCAACCAACTGGAAGGTACACTAATGGAAGAACCATTGTTGACATTATAGGCAAGTTTTTTGTTACCTTTTCTAATTTTTTTTCATTCAAATATTTGTCAAATTAACCACATTGATTATTTCATGTATATGAATGTTAATTTTTTTATTATTTATTATTTATTATTTTGCAGGGCAAGAAATAGGATTAAGTGGATTCACTCCACCATTTTTGGCGCCAACCACAGGTGGATTAACTGTTCTCCAAGGTGTTAACTTTGCTTCTGGTGGAGGTGGCATTCTAAATCACACTGGCAAAATTTTTGTAAGTTCCTCCATTTTCTTTTCCTTTTTCACCCCTCTCTCTCTGTATATATATATAGTGGCGAATCCACCATTTGACAACGTTAGACTTCAGTCATAATCGATCAATTTTTATATATATATATATACGACGCAAAAATGATCATATTTCATAGAGCTATAATGTTTTAATTAATTTACTCGTAACGACTATTTTTATCAATACCATATATTTGAAATCGAAGGCCCCACCCTCAAACCCCGTAAACTTTTGATTTGCTCATTATGTATATATATATATAATATATAATGAAATTAATGATAATAAATTAATTAACAGGGAGGGAGGATAAACCTGGATGCACAAATGGACAACTTTGCAAATACAAGGCAAGAAATAATATCAAGAATAGGTGATGCTGCATCAAATAATCTACTCCAAAATGCTCTTTTCTCAATCACAATTGGCTCTAATGATTTCATCAACAATTACCTAACTCCTTGTCTTTCCAAACTCGACCAAAAACTCGTCCCTCCGGAACTTTTCGTCGCCGCCATGATTTCAAGATTCCGACTTCAACTCACGGTAACAAAAAATAAAAAAAAATCATATTTTTTTCTTTAATTTTTAATTTGAATTAATTTGAATTTTTTTTGGGGTTATTAATTTCAGAGGCTTTATAGTATGGGTAAGAAAATAGTGTCGCGTACGTCGGCCACCTGGGTCATACCATTCAAAGGGAATAATCCAATGCAGGGATGATTCCTGTTCCACAACACGTGCAGATATTATACACAATGAGCTCTGCGTCCTCT